GGACTGTAAAATGGTACCATCATATGGAAAACAATTTGGCAGTTTCTTAAAATGTCAAGCATAAACAACTATATAATCCAGCCATTCTACTCCTAGGTGTCACCCAAGAAAAATGAAAGCATAACCTTCTTCAAAGCCTCTTTCAGTGATATGATGTTAAACCAAACAAAAAAACCCCCATATGTCCATACAGAGACTCGTACATAAATGTTGATACTAGCTTTATTTGTAGTAGCCACAAAGACTTGCACATAAACGTTGACATTAGCTTTATTTGTAGCAGCCGCAAAGTGGAAATGATTCAAAGGTCCATCAACAAAGGTATATGAATAAACAAACCGTGGTATTTAAAACTCTAGACAGTGAGAGAAAGTAGATCAGTGATTATCAGGGGATGGGGTTTAGGGAAGGAGAGAAAGATACAGGAGGGCAAAAAGAGCATCAGAAGTCTTGGAGAGATGGGTATGCTCATTACCTTAATTGTGGTGATGGTTAATGGGCATATCCCATCTCGAAACTTAAACCATGTCTTTAAATATGTGTAATTTATTTTATATCAAGTATATCTCTCTCTAAGTTAGAAATACACATGTACACACAAAATCTGACCTCTTCTCACTAACTTCATTGCTCCCATCTTTCTTCAAGGCACCACCACCAAGGCTCACCTGGATAATTTCAATATTATTTTAACTGGTCTCTCTGATTCAACCCTTGTCCATTAATGTCTATTCTTATCTTAAATGGCAGAGGGATTCTGTTAAATTGTAAGTCACTTCCTCTGTTTAATGGCTTCTTATTTCACTTGGTATAAAAGCCAAAAGTATTACAATAGTATACAATGTCTTGTTACTGACTCTGATTTTATTCGATCTCTCCCACTTGCTTACTCTACTCAATCCTAATTTCCCTACTTTTCTTTGAGGGTAAAAGGCATGCTTCTGCTGCAGGGCATGCTGCACTTGTCTTGCACACACTCACATTAATCAGATCCCTGCCTCCTTCCACTTTTCTGAGGCCTTCTCTCATGCCCCTATTTACAACTGCAACCTTCATGTCACCTCTCCTTTTCCCTACCCATCCTGTATTTTTCTCCACAGTGTAGCACACATTTGGTGTAATTAGACATTTACTTATTTTGCATATAGGTAAATAAAACGGTAGCTCCTTAGAGCAGGGATTTTTATCTGTTTACTGCTGAATCCCCAGTGCCTAGAATTTTGGGTGTGACATGGTAGGTGCTCAGCAAATCTATATTTAGCAAATGACTGTATTCTGTGTCTGTCTTCCTTGCCACACTGGGCACTTCTACAAATGTACAAGTTGTATATCCTATCACTTGTCACTGCATTTCAGTGCCTAGTACAGCACCTTGAAGAGAGAGCAGATGATCACATTTTCCCAATTGGACTGATGCTCACAGATGAACCACTGACATCTTGAAAGGCAGATCCTAATCCTTCCTCTTCATGGCAATAGCATCAAGTTCTAGGACAAGACCAAATTCTTGATATAGACAAATAATGTTTGTTCAGGCTCATATAAAATGCTGGGCAAATACAGCAAGACATGTCTCCTAGCCCCACCTTCCAATCATCAGCTGCCCTCAAAACACAATGCATTCTAGAGCCACAGTCTCTACCCTGTTTTTTTCTCCTACTACGAATCCCCAACTCCAAGTCACTAATCAGTCAGTCTCTCCCCGCTCTCTCCCCTCTCTTCATAGCTGTATGCTCCTTTAGGCTAGTTCTTTAGGCTAGTTCTTTCCCACATCACATCCAAATGCCCTCCCATGAGGAGGGCAAAAGCTCAATTGAAGCCTTACCTTCGTCTAGAAGCCTTCTCTAGCTATGGATACTCCTCCTGCCTTCTCATTCAGCTCTCTTCTGTAAGTACAATTTGCATCACATCATTTTGCACCTAATTACATAATTTGTTGCCTTCTAAATGCTTCTTATTTCTACTTCCTCATCTAACCTGTAATGCTTCTTTAATATCTCTCAATGCATCTGCCTCACTGCTGAGCACACTGTGAGGTCACACACATGGCAATAAATGGTTTAATTTCAGAATCTAGGGGTGCGATAAGGGTGAGAAAAAGGCAGAAAATGGATAATCAAAGTAAAAATTTAGAAGAAAAGTGGCGAGTAGCAGGATTATTTTAGAATAAAAAATGTGGACTATAAACTACCTCCTCAAAGAAAGAAAAGAGAAATGAAAGAGCCTAGAATGGTTACTTTAAAGATGGAAAAAATATATAGTGGAGTGACAGGATGCTTGGAATTGACATTTATAGCTGTATTATATTAAGAAGAGATTTCATTCATTTAGTTCAGATTTCAGGGTATAATAAAAGACTTTAATATAATATACTATATGAATTAACCTCTCTCTGAACAAAGCTGTTAATGAAATAAACAATGCTATGTTAAAAACCCAACAAAATTTAATATAGAGTATATTAGTGACTAAAGAACAATACTACCTACAGCAGCCTCATTACCAACTCAGACTTATGCAGCAGATAATATATGAAGAACACCATGGGGCATGAGGTACAAAAGGTAGAAGTTTAAGATTTTCAGGAAAATATCTTTGTTAAATTAACCTATGGAAATTTCTTCTGTAGCTTTACTAAAATGTGTGTAAACTGCTTGCACAGAAGTGATTGGCATTTTTCAAAAAAAAAAAAAAGACAAGAAATTCAAGTGGAAAGTAATAAGAGGCTGTGTGGCTCATCTACATATATTGGTCAGCCATCTAATAAGCAAATGTTACAAACTGAAAGGGCTGCAAAGAACAAAAAATTATCCTATGTCCATTTACTTGGGTACAAGAAACTCATTTAGGTAAATCAAAGAAATGACTTCTTTGTACATACTGGGCTCTAGTGTTTCCACCATCAACTCGCCTACAGTTTTCAAGTCATGAGAAATCTATCTTAATTCAACCTTACTTCTAAGAAATTGTAAGTAGGGAAAGTCCAAAAGCTTTAGATGAACTTGGGCATTTAGACATATCTGAACTTCTCATGAAAATTTGTATTTTCAGAATCATCTTCAAAAAGAGAAGCTGAGCTATCCTGACATCCTTTAGAAGCTGAGATGCTTGTGAGGTTTTATTGAACTTTAATCTGGAAGACATGACATGGGTCTCTGTATCTCATGAAAACACGTATAAAATGTAGTCCAAGTGAGGTATATGCAGGGGACATTTTTCCCTTTGCATAATATTAAGTAACAATTTCTAAACATTTTTATGAAACACATTCAAAGACACCAAGAGCATGGTTCCCATGATGTGTTAAATAGGGTCTTTTTTTGGGTTGTTGAAACAGTCTGGCCTTATTGTTTCTAGCCTATTTTTTCTATGTGTAATCTGCTGTTGAGTATAAGCTCCTTGGTGGTCAGTGACTGTTTATCTACTATTATGTAAAATTTTAATTGTCCAGAAACTGGAACTAAAAACACATTTGACAGATAACAGAAAAACAAGAAACCATAAAACCTGGGGTGTGTGCTTGTACCACATGACAGGCAGAGGGAAGGCATGGGAAGAACCAGAGACTGAAATCGGGGCGCTGTGTTCTGGGACTGGGTCTGAACCACATGCAGTAATCTAAGACAAGCCACAGCCTTTCAGATCTTGTTTCTCCATTTGAAAAACAAGGGTCAGAATACTGGTCTGTCCCTTTTCCAGGGATCCTTGAGAATCAAATGTAATAATGCAAGTGAATGTGCTCTGAAGCTATACAGGGCTATATATAGTTTCTTTCTCTTGAAAAGAAAGAAAACTTACAACAAAATGATACCTTACCTTGGAGTCTGTGAATACTCAATCTGATTAAAAAGGAAACCAACAACAACAACAACAAGCCAGTAGTCTGGGAATCAGGAGATTTAGGTCTTGGTCCAAGTGCTAACAAATATGCCTAGTGAAATCTGCACAAGCCCTTTCCCTTTAGTTTTCTCAACTATAAAACAGAGAGATTATAGAAAGAATTTCTAAGGTATCTTCTAGATTATGATTCTGTGATTCTTAAAAATTACATTTGTCTTTCATCTGTACAATGAAATATTGTCTTATGAAATGCTGTATGGTTTTATTAGACAATTCCTATAAATAACTGTCATCGGAAGCAGAATTTTTGTATTGTAAGAGACATATAATTCTTCAAATTGCCAAAGCATATAGCAGGGTTAATAAGAACAAATATTTTCTCCAAGGAAACCCAGCAGGGATTGTCTGTGTGCATGTGTGAGTAAGCAAGCACCCAGCAATGCATGCATGGGTGGCGGTGAAGGGGATGGGAGGGCATGTGGCTAAGCTGTTCAATGCTGTTATACTCCTGTTACATTTTGTTAGTGATGTAATGTGAATATAAAGTTTGGACATAATGGTAGGTCCAAAAGATAATCTGAAGTAATAAAAATTGAGAAATATTTTGGGAAGGTTTTTGATGTAAAATTTTTTTGAGGTAAAAGAGCGACTTTATGGGTATATTAAGTGACACAACAAGTACTAATTGCAAATATAAAAACTTTCCAGAGTTCTTTGAAAATAAATACCTCAAAAGAAATTACTCAAATAGATTAAGCATTTATAGAAAATATATAATGACAATGTTCTGCTTATTAGCTTTTTCCTTAATGCTTCAAAAACGGCATTCATAATTTTACTTTTATCACATCATTCATTTGTTTTCAGTTAATGTTACTTCAAAATAGTACTCAAACAAAAATAAATGACAAAATAGGTCCTCTAAAGTTTTGTGTGTTATTCGTTTAACAGGATTTCTTATAACTTTGTAATAATACACATTCTCAGAGTCCAACTATTAAAATATTCATAATTTAAACAAGCCGAACCCCTTTAACATCAACTATCTGAAATTTAACTTATAGTTTGATAATGTTATAAAAATGAGAAATGGAGAAATTGTCCTTAAAAAAAAATCCCAACCATTTATCACGGCAAATTAATTTGAAGAAGTTGCTTACTGTGTCATAGATTCTGAGCCTAGTCTGAAATCTTGGGACTTGTTCTTATGGATTGATTGCTGTGGAAGAAGAAGCAAAGCAAGTAGTAAGTAAAAAATGAGAAAAGACAACACAGTCAATATTCACATGCTGAAAACCCATCACTTTCCTGAGTGGGGACAGCGTATGCCTGTTCTGAATAAGATTATCTATGCCTGTCCTGAACATAAATGTCTATCAGGACAATATATTTGCTCCCATGAAAAACCAAGGAAGTAGTTTTCCAGAGAGTTTAAGCACTCTTTATAAGTAAAGTCAGCTTCCAGGTATGTGACAAAAAAAAAAAAGCTCAACTGTGAATCAGTTTAATCTCCCAATACTATGTGGTGTATTACTTAAGCTCTAAATACATCTTTCAGCATGTATCTTTCCTTCATATTCTTTAGAGTAGACTTTATATTTTCACAGTAATATACATTGAACTGTATGAAAGATTTTGAATTTGAAAGCCCTTTAAATCTACAAAATGTGTTCAGAATATCTTGTTTTATTAATGGCACCTCCATGAGAAAAACAATAAGCAATTTAAGGGGTACTGAATTATACTCTGAGTGTTGGATACTTCCTTTAGAATCTGAAACATTAACTTCAAATTAAAGTATACTGCGGGCAATTGAGTTTGATATGATATATAGTATTCTATAAATCAACCTAATGTTGCTATAAAGTGAATTGCGAAGTTTTTTTTTAGACATAATCGCGTTATGGAAAGGATCTGTTTAACATTCACAAAGAAAATATGAATTGCTATTATGTCAAAGTTCAATACTGTACAAATGAAAGAGATATACCACATGTTCCTACTTATTTCAATAATCCAGAAAACATAAAAGCAAAATGAAATGAAAGAAAAGGAATGCAATCTTCTCTTTCAGTCTTTTTTTGAGTAATTGCTCTCCCAGTGTTATCTCTACTGAAGCTTGTCTGGCCTTTTTAGACTTCCTTCTTCACAATCAGCTTTCTGCAAGATCATTCTTCCGCAAGATTCGGCACTATCTTTAAACAAGTATTACTTTTCTTATAGATTTCAAGAGGATATTATGCTTTTCTGGACCATAATTATGTAATTATCACTGCTAGCTGTGTAGCTTTAAGTCAAGCATAATAAAACAAGAATTAAAGAGCAAGAAGACTTTGCTGTGAAAGGTGAGTGTTGTAATAAGTGACCCAATTTGGTAGAACAAAAAAAGAACCAATGACACCTTGATTTTTCTCCACCAATGGAACTGCTCTGACTCAGTTAAAACGTGTTTGAGAAAAAAGTACATACACACAGGAAGTATCAGATTCAACTACTAATTCAGACTGCCCTCACCCAATAGAGCAATAAGCAAAGAAAACCATCAAAACCCCAGAAAGCACCATCGTAACAGAAATTATCCTGCTTCTTTCCAGACTTGTGAAATAAATTCTAAACACAGCAATCAAATTAAATTTGAAATGTTTTATTCTTTTCTTTTCTTTTCTTTTTTTTTTTTTTTAAGAGATGGAGACTTGCTTTGTTGTTCAGGCTGGAGTACAGTGGCATGATCATAGCTCACTGCAGCCTTGAACCCCTGGGCTCAAGCAATCCTCCCACCTCAGCCATCTGAGTTGCTGGGATTACAGGTGTGCGCCTCCACGCCCAGCTATTCGTTACAAGGTCTCAGTACCATTTTTATCCCTTTGCCCATAGCAAGATCAGCATCTTACCATCAGTATAGGTATATATGAAACTTGATAAAACTTTTCAAAAAAGAACTCTACATGAGGGCTCTGATCAGAAATTCTCATCAATTTGAACCTATTCCAGAGGTTGAGGGGAGAGAAGTCATACTGAATTATATATCACTGTTAAGCCCATGTTACTTTTAATTATTTTTGTTATCTGGAAAAATGAGTAATAATATGTTGCCATGTGCAGCTCTTACCAATTCTGCTTGTAATAGTCTGTTCATGTGAAATGGATGCTGTGATGTCCTCAGAAACTTTGTCCTAGGTATGTTAAACATCGTCCCTGCCATCTTTCCTACTGTACTAGTGTATTCCATAACTGGCATATCAACTCCTTTTTAATGATGCAGAGGTGGCTTAGCCTGTGTTCAAATTATATGACTCCTAAGTTAATAGGGGATCCAAATTGCCAAGTTTTAACACTTATTTAACTAGGACCAATATTGAACTTCTAAACACCTTTACTCACTCATTTCTTGGTCTCAGCAGCAGCACGTCATATGGGTAGTTACTCATGGAGGCAGAAGCAGGGGGAAGACGGAGGTGTCTCTGTGAGCTGTTTTGTATTATTTTACCTTTAAACAAAAAAGTCCTCAAGCCTGGTGTGCAATCAGCCTGCAAATACCCCCCACCATTGACAAGGCCAAGGACATGACTGCCCTTCTTTCCCTCCTTTCCACACACACTTCTCAGACAGTTGTTTTATGACATTGTTTTCTCTTCATGGATATCCTTGATTTGGAGAGGAGGGGATGAAGAGAGGAAAATGAGCAAAGCAAAAGTGATGAGTGAAAGGACCGGAATCTAGAGACTCTTGTTTTCCAAACCCTCACAACTTGAGGGTTTGGAAAGCCAGATGCTTTTAAATTTAAATGCAATAAGAGTTAACATAAAAGAAATGATTAATGGAATGATTAAATGCTTCCACTGATTATTTGAAAATTCACAAGGAAGAAAACTACTCATACATAGCTTTGTAAAAGAGAAATGAGCTATGCAAACAACTCCCCCAAATATTTTTATAAACTTGAAAATGAATATAGAATTAGGTAAATGTTCAATCAATGTATGTTGCATCTAGCACACCGGATTTAAATAAGGCAAATTTATGATACAGTATAGCTCTATTTTTTATTTTTTTGAGATAGAGTCTCACTGTGTCACCCAGGCTGGAGTGCAGTGGTACGAGCTTGGATCACTGTGAACTCTGCCTCCTGGGTTCAAGTGAGTCTCCTGCCTCAGCCTCCCGAGTAGCTGGGACTAAAGGTGTGCACCAGCACGCCTGGCTAATTTTTGTAATTTTTAGTAGAGATGGGGTTTCATCATATTGCACAGGCTGGTCTCGAACTCCTGACCTCATGATCTACCTGCCTTAGCTTCCCAAAGGGCTGAGATTATAGGTGAGGTGTGAGCCACCACTCCTGGCCAGTATAGCTCTATTTTTACATGCTGCTTATATACCTCATGATAGATCTACATTTTCCACATAATTTCATAGTTTGTTTATATCTACTTTGTAAGAATTTTTTTTAAAAAAAATGCAAGACAGGAAAAACAACTAGGGTGGGTGGTTAAATTCTTGTCTTGGTTCTGTCATTAACTCTACGTGGCCCGAGTAAGCCACTTAGCCTCTCTTGGGGTCTTTCTTTTTCACTTGAAAGTGGATGGGGGTTCAAAATAAAAACATAAACAGCATGGCACCATTCTCTTATTTTACAGACCAGGAAATGGAGGCCCAGAGTTACCAAGGTTACAGAAGTAGTCTGAAGGTTACACTGGTTACACTAGTGTTTTTCAAATGGATTTAATGGCAAAACTGTTTTCAATTAATATTTTGTTTGAAAGTCTCACGTATAAACACGTGAAATAAGAATTACTCTGGGTGAAGCTAGGTTTGCATGGCCTGGCACCCCCTGCTCCCCACCCTTAGGCCCCCAGGTCCCTGAAAAATAGGGCTCTAGAGATGACAGTTTACAAACTACTGGACTATACAACTCTAGACAAGACTAGAAAGGTTTCTTTTATTGCTACAATTCTGTTTCCAGGAGCAGAATTTTATGATTTTAAAATTCACATAAGTTTGAAGTTTTCTTTGACTTTAGAATGTATGTATGTATATGTTTGTTTATTCACTTACTTTCTAATTGAGACAGGGTCTTGCTCTGCAGTAGGCTGAGTAGCCTGAGTAGGCTGGAGTGCAGTGGTGTGATCATAGCTCACTGCGGCCTTAATCTCCTGGGCTCAGGCCAACCTATGGCCTCAGTCTCTCAAGTAGCTGGGACTACAGATGTATACCATCATGTCTGGCTGATTTTTTTGATTTTTTAGTAGAGGTGGGTTTCACCATATCATCCAGGTTAGTCTCAAACTCCTGTCCTCAAGTGATTCTCTTGCCCCAACTTCCCAAAGTGCTAGGATTAGGGGCATGAGCCACTGGGCCTGGCCTGATTTCAGAATTTATTACTGATAATGCATCTGGTTTACTTGATGTTAAATCCTCCAATTATAATGCTCTTATTTAAGGGAAAAAATTATGTATTAAGGTGCAGTTTCTAGAAGCATACTGTAACAAAAAGTGAAGACCACTGGGCGTGGTGGCTCAGGCCTGTAATCTTAGCACTTTGGGAGGCCAAGGCAAATGGATCACAAGGTCAGGAGTTCAAGACCATCCCGAATAACAAGGTGAAACCGCCGTCTCTACTAAAAATACAAAAATTAGCTGGGACTGATGCCACGTGCCTGTAATCCCAGCTACTAGGGAGGCTGAGGCAGGAGAATTGCTTGAATCCAGGAGTCGGAGGTTGCAGTGAGCTGAGATGGTGCCACTGCACTCCAGCCTGGGCAACAGAATGAGATTCTGTCTCCAAAAAGTGAAGACCATCCTGATCATGATTTGTAGTTTTGGATACTAATTGTGCCAATTAAAAACAATAACAAATACTCATCTGCAGGGCAGCTTAATAAGGAGAGTATTTTAGAAGATAAGGCAAAAATAGGTGAGAACGTCTATTTAAATCTTTGAGGGGTGGGATCTGGATAAAAACTTATGAGATTTGGCTTTATAGACAAATATGAAGCCAACTGGGATTTATGCAGTGGTAAGTCACATGATTTTAGGAAAGTATCTTCAGGAGGCAGGTAAAAGGTACAATGAAGACTGAAGAATGGGAAAAGGGATACTGTTATCAGCAGAGACCAGAAGGTTGTATGCCAGGCAGTGGCTGTTACACAGAAATATCCTTCCCAAGCTCCTTCCCTTCAGTTCACTCTAAAAAAACTGGCATTCCTTAAGGCTCTGTCTTCTACC